GAGAGATAAGAAGAAAAAGACAGGAGGCAGGAGTACAGATGAAGTAAAACTTGGGGCTGCTGACAAAACGAAAGGTGGGAACAGTTACTAGTGTATTTTCATATTTAAATGATTTTGTCAAAAGTCCAATAAACAAAGTTGCCTGGATCCTGTGAACCTTGATTTCTAGCATCATAAGCAAGAGTTTAATTAGGAGCTACATCTAGCTAGAAGGTTTATGATATAACACCATAAAGAAAATCAAGAGCCAGATATTTTACCTCATTATTCATGTTTTAATTAGTAAAACACTTAAGTAATTGAAACTTCGTTCCTTGCGTTCTCACATTTCAGTTATTTCTCTTGTTGTTCACTTACATCCTGGGGACCTGACCATTGATTAATAGGCATGCAGAACATATATCCCATTCTACAGCAAGTCCTGATTCATAAGAAAATCAGATGGGGGTGCTGTAGGAATAGTAGAGTTTACCACCTTTTCTGCAAGAGATGGGAAACATTTCCACATCATACTGCTCTGAACTCTGTCTGTCCCCTGGTATTTCAAAAAAGTTGCATTATTTTTATTTTATTTTATTTTATTTTGTGGTGTTGTGGTAATTTCTGTCTTTAACATGAAGTGAGTTGGTTTATTTCATTTTAAACTCTCTATGAAAGCCTGTTATATTTGCTACTGTAGGTATGATGATATTCTGATCAATGGACTACCAGATTGGCGACAGCCTGTATTCTACTACAGGCGGGTGAGAAAAATGAGCAATGCTGAGCTGGCATTACTCTTGTTCATTATTCTCACAGTGGGTCATTATGCTGTGGTTTGGTCAATCTACCTGGAAAAACAGCTGGTAAGTATTGGTAATAAATCAAATGCACTACAATCATTAGTGTATCTGAAATCCTTGCAAAAGTTTCCAAATAATAGGGATTTTTACAATATGTCCTTTTTCCATTGAAATTAGTTTTCTGGTATTTTAAATGGTTAGTTGTATTAGTAGCAAATATTTTATTATTTAGTTATATGTTCTAATGTTCTAGATTCAAAAGTCAAAATGAAATAATTTTTATATGAATGTAATGTAAAATTTTAATTTCTTATACAGTCGCTGATGATAATTAGAAAAAAAACCCTCTTGTTCACTAATTATCAGAGGAAAGAAAGACAGCAGACACCTTCTCTACCATCTGTTGAAGCAGAAACATGTCTTTCCATGGTCATGCTTTTGGTCTTCACAAGTGTTTGGTGTCTCTGGTCTTGATTTTCAGAATTCATACTCACTTTGGCTTTTCCTGTTCTTACTGGAGGTTTTTTCCAAAATAAAACCTGATAAATGTTCTCTGGTCCATTAGAGAAGCAGTCAAAGCTAAAGCATTTTTTAGTATTTATTCTCCCCCGCCCCCCACCCCTATATGTCTTTGGAAGCTTTAAGTTGATGGTACAAGCGAACATAACATAAAAAGCAATCAATTTTTGTTTATACTCTTAAAAAAACAAACACAAATTCAACAGTATTCACACATTAGCATCTATTTACTTTTTATTTTCCAAGCTACATTATTAAAGTTGATGAATGAGAAAGGAGGCAAGTTGAATGCTTTCTCTTCTTAGAAAACTTTGATTGCTATGGAGATACACATGACTGACAGAGCTGGACTTCATGTGTGTTTAAGGACTGGATGCCATGGCAACAGTTATTGTTAAAGATAGATGATTTTACTTAATCATGTAGGACCCTAGATATATTTGCATAAATGCTACTCTAATGTTTATCCTTCACAGAAGAGTTCCAGTAACATTCATAGAGTACATGTTAATGATAATTGTAATCATAATTCTTTCTACATTAAGGATGAACTGCTTAGCAAAAAAAAGAGAGATAAGAAGAAAAAGACAGGAGGCAGGAGTACAGATGAAGTAAAACTTGGGGCTGCTGACAAAAACGAAAGGTGGGAACAGTTACTAGTGTATTTTCATATTTAAATGATTTTGTCAAAAGTCCACTTCAGCTATTAAAGAAATTGATCAGATATTTTACACACTCCGCCTGTATGCTTGTATGTGGTGTGTCCACACCGAAAGATAATCTCTTAAATTTATGAGAATGTTGCAAGGCTGGCAATGTGTACTATGATTGCTGTTTATAAATATTCAGGGAGGCATTGGTGTGGGTTTGTAATATGAAACGTGGCTATGTGGAAGATCAAAAGTAATTGTAAAGCAAAGAATGTATAAAGTATAGTTTATTTGCAGAAGGGTGCTTCTGGTTTATAAAATAATTTTTGCAAGACGTTTATTACAAGCTTTTCCACTGAAGATTTAAATTAGGTTAAAAATGTAAACTAACAAGTTCATCATTACTGAGTCTTTAACGTATTGCTCTGGTAAGTGCTGAAATTTTGGAGGTTCTTGAATGTTGTTTGATTCACGTAGAAACAAAAGCATTAGTAAAGGATTCTGACACTGCTGTTTAGTTAAGAAACAACATAGGGAAGTGACATCCAGTATACTCCAAAAGATACCACCATTTCTTCTATTGATTTATAGAAAGAAATAAAGGGTTTAAATAGTTCACACAGCAGGGGCATGAACTGGATCAATGCAGGATGGAGATCAGAGACTGTTCTGCCTGTCTTCTATTCTGATGACATCAGTGAGTAATGCTTCAGTGAACTGCAAATGACATTAATTTTTATGTATTGGTTTATTTATGCTACCGTCTTCATATCTAGTTGTCAGCGCTTGTGAACACTTTGGTGATGGTTAGTCTTTTTTAGCTGAAATGATCACTTAAGGCTTAGGAATTTATTTTTGTGTAAATGAAGAAAAGTCCTGTTAAAAGAAGATTAAAAATATAACAATTAATAGAAGCACATTGTCTAAATCTAGTCTTGATTCTTTGGTTTGTTATATGCTTTTTAATGGCTTCAATATTCATAATGTATATTTTGTATTAATGTTTATGCACTTTCAAAATGGATTAATAAGCATTTTTAATTTTACATTTCTAGTTTGAGGCTGTAGGAGAGTTTGCTGACTTTTGTAAACAGGTATATTGTGTAATGAGAATGAAAATGTATTTTTAATATTTAAAATAATTTTACTTTGATGTAGATCATTGGAAAAACCACAGTGGCGTGATTTGCTTCCGTGCAAGCTGGGAATTTGGTTCTGTCTTACTGTAAAATCATTACCTCAGCTGTTGCAGGTAAAAATACAATTTGCACCCCACTTTTTTATGGGATTATTTTGCTGGTTTCATTATGCTGTAATCACACACAGTGTGGCTTGTTCACTTGATTTTTCTGTCATCAGAAGTATTTTTCTTATACAGATAAATTATTATTTTAAGGGTATTATTTAAAAGTTCATGTAAATGTGAATATATATTTGTAAAATTAGTCTTTTGTTTAATATAACCTACAATTCTAATTGTAGTTCTCTCAGTCTGCACTCTGATTTATAAACAGACAAGACTTTAAGAATTGTTCAAGAATAAATAGAAAAGGAGGGTGAAAATTACATGTATTTTAGGAGAAGAAGCAGTGTGTGGAAATAAACTGTAAATGGTAACATTTAATTATAGCTTAAATGTATCTAAAACATACAGTATTTGTGTAATATATTGTACATTAATATCCAGTTCAAATTTAATAGGAAACAGGGAAATAAATTGAGGGTGTTTTTTTTACATGGAGTAATTTTAATTTTACCCTTTTCACTGGCAACTGATATCCACCTTTTCCTCAAATTAATCCACTAATTTTTTTTAATGACTGAGAAGGCTTTTAAAAAATTATTCATATGCAAAAATCTGTCGGTGGAAGGATAAGGTTGTACAGTTAGTACTTTGGAGGAGGGGAAAAATCAGGAAAAGCAAAAATTAACATTAGCATAGGAACTTAAATTTGTTCAGCCTGTCTGACTATAGAATTTTCTTCTACTTTAAGTGTATAACAATAGATTTATTTGTTAAAGGCATAGTGTAAGATACACAAATTATGTAACATCACCAACTTAGTGTCATTATAGTCAGGAAAGTGTCTATAGAGAAAAAATATCTTCTTACATAACAGATTTTTACACCCTGTGGTTTTGGTCATATCTGCTTTAGTGATTAAAAAATAAGATGGTTGCATTTTTATTTATTATTATTATTATTATTTGTTTCTCTTATTATTACTGTAGAGTTGCTATGAATCAGGGAAAGAAAGCAGGGTTAGATTTTGGCTTACACATCACTAACGTAATTGTTAACTAAGGCACCACTGCTGGAACTGTTTCCATGCAGATGAAACTTAGGTTTCACTTCCATGCAGTTGATTTTACAGGAGTGGCATATTAAACAAGCAAGAAAGCAAAACAACAAATTGTTTTATCTGTTAGCAGAATAAACTTACTAAGAAAGTCACAGAGACAATAAACATGTTTCTCAGGATTGATCCTTTTTAGTGACTTTTTCAAGGATAACTTCTCTTGAATGTTAGTTGTAGACATCTTAACTGCTTGTATTTCCTTATTTTTTTAAAAATTAATGGTGTAGTCTTGATATTGTACTAAAGTAGTTTTTAGTTAATTTTCTTGTTTTAAAGAAAATAATGATCACTTCCTGGTCACAGTTGGGCTTTTAAGTTCATTCCTCATTTTGGTGAACGAGTTGGGGGAGGAGTGAATTCACAAATTGTTGCTGCTATTTGTTGACAATTTCCTGTATTGGTTAATAATCGTTTTGATTATTTTCTTAATTTACAATTTCTCCAATCCTTTTTCTAGGAGCAATCATGGTGTATTGTGTCATTAGACTATATTAAAAAAATCATAGATGCCTATTGAGCATACCCAAGTTACTTTTCTTCAATCAATCTTCAATCATGTAACTTTATTATCCAACAAACTATTCTCAAATGTGGCCAGTGATATTCCATAATTTATAGGCTAAGTTTAAAAGCTCCATCCCTATTTGAATGAAGTGTGCGTAGGAGAGAGAGCTGTAGCAATATCTTAGTGGCAAAAGTTTGCCCATGCCACTCACTATCTTCACCCTTAAGCCTTACATATTACAACTAGCTGAACAGATTTTCCTCAAACTTAAAAAATATATGACTTTTTGCTTGATCCCAGAAAGCTTCATCCCCAGAAGAGCTTTTTTTTTTAGTGAAAGCAAGATTATAATTAATGTTGCAAAATAGAGCAAATACTAGATTGAAACTAAAAAATATTTACTTATGAGATGATAGGGCATGTTAATGTCCTACTTGCCACCGTTCTATCCACTTAGATGATTCAGATTGCAGAGATGCTACACATGTCTAATTCTCATTTATCCAACTGAATGTCTTCCTCCCCTTTCCCCCCTCAAAAATATCAAATCAGAGAAGGAGGCACTTAAAATAATTAAGGTGGGCCTTTACTTGAGAAAAATGCTTTGTTTGCATGTCCTCGGAATGGCCTATGTCATTTTATCTTGCTCTGCTTTTTGCATGATGGAGTTGAAAGAAAAATAGGAAAGGGATGTGTGAGAAAAATGTAGAACTTTGAAAACTGAATTATATAAGGAAGCTTTTATTTTTAATTATTTGGGAGCATGATTCAAGAGGAGGAAGAGGAACAAGATGGATTTTCATAGTTGTGCTTGTGAGGTTAGTTAAATTTAGGGGCGGAGAAAGTGAAGAAAACAAAGTAAATTAAAAAAATTCTTGTAGGAAGGGAGCTTGTTGAAAGAAGTGATGTAACAACGTTGATAGTCCAGGCCAAATACACTTAAACATTAACTTGTATTGTTCAGTGTAATTTGTACTGTAATTAAATGTATGGTTTGTAGTGTAGGCACAGAGTACAATAAATAGGATACATATTGTTGTTAGGCCCATTTTTGTTTAGTCTTTCAGGTGAATGAAGAGGAATGAAGGAAGGCTGTAGGTGGCTTATTTTTTTCTCTTAAAAATCAACAAAAACAAAACTATCCCTCTCTTCTTCTCCCAAACCCCCCTCCCCAACCCCCAACCCAATCTAGGGATTGAAAAGTCAAGCTTGTAACAAAGGAATGAAACTGTTTAATAGTGTGTGAGTGTCGCAGTCCAAATCAAGAGTGTAATTCAGAGCACAGACTTGTGTTAATTACAGATTTTAATTATCTTTGTGTGGGACAAAAGCAGACTTATCTGTGAATAGACTGGTTTTTAACAAAAAGGTGACTGAGGGTTTCTGTCTGTAGATGAAGACATACAACTTAAGGAAACTGTTTTGCTATTTCCTAAAGGTCCTTGCTAACTACTCTTTATTCTCATTGTTGCTTACAGATAATAAAATAAAAGTGTTCTCTATTAAGCTACTTTCTTCTTCCCCCTTTTTTTAAGCAAGTATTCTTTGCCCTTCTTCCATATTACTTGTAGTGGCAGCTTAAAAATTAGTGTGTTGATCTTCATTTTGTACTAACTTTATTTATGCCAGCACAGCCCTAGGAAACATTTTTGTTAGTTAAATTGTCATGTCACTGCTGGCCTTGCTGTAATGAAGCAGGAAGCATTTTTGTCTGGTTCCTCCAGAAATGGACTCTTGTTAAGAAAATGAATTTCTCCTATTATCTGCAGAATAATGATACAAGCTTCACTGCATATTTCCATCAATAGGTTGTTGGAAAATCTTCTAGTGATTCTCCAATGGTGAGGAGCCCTTCAGTGTCTATTCATATTTGCGCCAAGTGTAACCTATTGAGATTGTCAACAAGGTTTCCAATTATGATGGTGACTTTTGGGATACAAACCTTTAGTCCATTTTCTAGTAGACAGAATAAAAATGGCCACTAATTTATTTTATGTAGACCATGTATGATAGTTAATTATACTTAGTTACTAGCCTGGACTAGATTCAAAGCAGTGAGCAAGAGATGTTTAATTTTTAATGTTTAATGCAGTGTTGAATTAAAAGAAAAATCCAGGAGAAATTTTTCACTGCATTTAAACAGCTTTTTAAAGATGGTCCAATTCTTCCCAGAACAGGTTGGCAGTATCTCATTGATCTCAAAAACCTCTACCAAAAGCATTTCATCTTTGGCAAGGCCATTTTCATGTTTCCTTTGTTTTGTGATCTAATCAAACTTTTCCATACATGTTTGTTTGTTACATTTTACTTAATATTTTAGTGTGATATATTTGATATAATATCTGTAATATTTAAATAGAATACATAAAGAGGGACTTTTATAGAGGAAACATTGAAGCACAAGATTTAACCCATAGAAAACTATTTAATTCATAGGGAGATGACAACCAGGAGCTACCTAGTTTTCCAGGGTTTTAGGATGACCAGTACTGGAGCACTGCACTTAGTAAGAAGAAGAGTTCCTAGCTTCTGCAAGATAGGATAGGCCAGGGCAGGATGTGTGGCAAAATGGGTGCCCATTTACCCTGCCCAAAACCAGGCCCAGACTAAAGAATTTTGGGGCCCTGTGCACTATGGAAATTGCGGGATCTACACCTTACTTAAAGTGCCTCTACCACATAAATAACCCACCTCACACAGACTTTCAAATGCCCCTTCTATCCCATATATACCCCATTCACATCCCAGGAGCCTTTACATGCATTTTGCTCACTGCAACCCCCAACAATTTACATTCACCGGCAGTCCCCAACATCCCAGCTCCCAAGCTCACTGACCCCCAACATTGCCAACGCCCCCTCAGCCCCTCACTCTGCAGCTCCCCAACACTTCCCATCCAGTACATAGGCTATCAACAACTTGCCCCAGCACCTCACCCCCATGACCTTCCGGGCCATTCACTGGTGCCTTGCAGCTCTGCACTCTGCATTCTGCTCTTTTCCTAGGGTAGTGTAGCACCTCCCAATCCCAGCTCCACAGCTCTGCTCATTTCCAGTGCCTGCCATGCACTTACATGGCCCCACGCTTTAGGGGGAGGGATAGCTCAGTGGTTTGAGCATTGGCCTGCTAAACCCAGGGTTGTGAGTTCAATCCTTGAGGGGGCCATTTAGAGATCTGGGGCAAAAATCTGTCTGGGGATTGGTCCTGTTTTGAGCAGGGGGTTGGACTAGATGACCTCCTGAGGTCCCTTCCAACCCTGATATTCTATGATTCTCAGCTGCCCCTCTGAAGGAAAAACTTGAGTGAGTGATGGTGTAACCTGGTGCACAGGTTCTCAGTGCTGCCCTGGTATTGAGTGCACACTAGTGAATTTGGGCCTACCTGGAA